TGTAACACAGCAACAAAGGACAACCACTGAATTACAGGCTCCTATTTTTGGACAGGCACATACATACATAATGTATGTTTAAAACATGTTAGCGGGATCCCAACCCTCCCCTAACCTGGGACAGTACAACATTGGAACGATCTATAAAACTCTATTATTTTGGTTTCAGGTGTCCCATTGACGTCTTTAACAGATGGGCGTTGTCTGTTCAGTTCTGCTTCCATGGCCCTCGTGGGTGACAACAGTCTTGTGACCGAACTCCGTGTCCGTACTTGCATTGAAATGTCATTAAACATTATGTTTTTGGCGTAGATGGTCTCCTCTCTTCTCCAGATGATGTTGAGTTTGACCTAAAGGTAATGGAGTTGGAAGCGAAGTATGAGCACAGTGTTCCCGCGTTTCAAAGTTATTTTAGCAGTAATACATCATCTCTGAAGAGCTATGTCTGGGAACCGGCACAAAAAGACATTGCCCCAATTAACTGGAAGCTTTTGAAAAAATAAATATTTTTTTTTTAAATTTATGTATTCAATGTTGAAATCTAATTAAATTTCAAATTTGAAACAAATCCTTCGAGAAATAAAAAAGTTATTAGCATTTTCATTTGGTCCTGTCATTCTCGATATTGGTCCTGTCATTGTCATCGTAGGTCAGGTCACGTTTTCGCAAGCTTCTGAAAAAAAAAATTTTTTTTTTTAAAATTTATATATTAAATGATGAAATCTTATTATATTTTAAATTTGAAATTAATCCTATGAAAAATAAAAAAGTTATTAGCATTTTTCATTTGGTCCTGTCATTCGGTCCTGTCATTCGGTCCAGTCATTATCCCGTCATTAGGGAAGGTCTATTAACAGGACAGATAAAACCAGGACAGTTATTTTCGATACGTTTTCATCTGTTACTTTTGTTTTAACAAACATATTGTTAAAATTTAAACTGTATAATAAAGAATTGGGTATATACTTACATTATTTGTAAAAAAAATTAAAATAAAAAATTAATAAGTTAAAAAAAATCTGCCAGGACAGTTAAATTTTAAGAAAAAAATGGCTGAAATTGCCGAGAAAAATTTACTTATAATTGAAATCATTTCTCCAAAACAACTGTCTGGCATAATATTTTTGTACGATTATAAAGTTTAGGGAATATTCATTCTAAAAATCTAGAAATTAATATAATTTTCGATTTTTAAAGGTAAAAAAATCTGCCAGGACAGTAGCCTATTACGTTAGAAATTTTGTTGAAATCAGCTCAAAATCAAAATATAAAGTTAAATATCTTCTTCAAAATGAATGTCTGGTAAGCAAATTTTGATTCATTGGAAAGTTTGAAATATAAGCTTTAAGAAAAAATAAAAAAATATGGACTTTTATTACATTAACACAAAAAAAATCTGCCAGGACAGTAGCCTTTTGCGTCAGAAATTTTGTTGAAATTCGCTTAAAATCAATGGATAAATTTGAATATTTTTTTCAAAATGCATGTCTGGCAAGAAAATGTGTGTTCATTGGAAAGTTTGTATTATCAGCTTTATGAAAATATAAAATTTTATGAACTTTTATTTTGTAAACGTAAAAAAAATCTGCCAGGACAGTAGCCAACTATGTTAAATGTTTGAATAAATGGCGGAAATCAACGTAATTTTTTAATTATAAATGAAATAGTAATTTTAGGTAAACGGACAGAAAGTCACAGGACAAAAAGTCACAGGACATAAAGTCACAAATTTGATAGGACAAAAAGTCTGGCATACTTTTTTGATATTATTAGGACCAAATCATTCAAAAAATCTATAAATTTATTTTTTAATCATTTCTTAAAGTAAAACAAATATGCTAGGACAGTACCTTGTTACATTGGAACTAGTGAAGAAATTTGTTTTAAATTTAAAATAATTCTCAAAGATTTTTTTGTTTTTTCTATTCAAAGTTTGCAGTTTAAGCTTTATCAGTGATATATTCATGAAAGTGAACATATTTAGAAAACATAATTATTGGTGTGTTCATTAAAAAAATATTTACTTATTTCGTTATGTTGATTAATTTGATCTCTTTTCAGTTTATTAAAGGTAGCAGACAGATCATTGAAAGGGCATGGGATTATATTTTATTAATCAAAAACATTTCATACACATACATGCATATATATAAATAATCATACAATACAATAAAAAAAAAAAAAACACAAAAATTAAAAACTGTAAAATCTCCTTTATATCGGAAGCAAACTCTTAACAAATTAAATTAAGTTTTGACAGTAATAAAAACTTCAAAGTCACTGATTGGTGTCAAATCCTCATAGGTGTTTATTCACTAATTAGTAATGTGTTTAGAGCACAGGAATGTGTCACCTTCTTTTATCCCCGTACACGAAACGTGTTTCCAAATGTTGCATTTTTTAACTCCTTTCTGCCATTCACACCCTAAAATGTCTTCTACTGAATCACATTTGCCACACTGACAGTTACATTCCACCACACTAGTTTTATATGTCGGTTTACCTTTCATGCCAATTTTTTTCTTTGGAAATGGAATAAATTCACCTTTTTCTAAACAAATCACAAGATGTTCTCTAAAAATTTCTGTGTCAAATTCTACATGTATTCCACCTGAAAAACTTGTAAAACAAAATTCTACAGCATTTGCAATTGCAAACAACCCACAATCTATGGAATTAGTCTGTTTCTGAACTTCTGGTATCTTGACCAACAGACGTTTTTTACCATGTGAATATATTTGTGAAAGTTGTATTTCTGAAGATGCTGTAAGTGTGTCGTACATGCTGTCCAATATATAAACTTCATTTGATTGTTTGGTTAAAGAAGTAACCCAGTGTGAATGTCCTGTATGATGAATTTGTACAGCCGGACCCTGTGTAGGTGTAAAACTTGTCTCAGAAAGCCATTTTTTTTGTTGATTACAGAAAACTGGAGCATAACATGTGTTCTGGAAACCCTGGATTAATGGAAACTGTTTTAAAAGAATGTTTTGTGCATAATTAACAATGTCGGAAGTTAAACACTTTCTATCTGAAATTATTTTTTTGTCTACTTGTGTAAGTGTACCTACCCATGGTTTTTTTTCCTGTTCAATTTCAATCGAAATCGGCGGAGTTGGAAATTCAAGTTTCATTTTTTTACTTGGTGGTGTCTCATCTAATGTAACTATGTTATCTTTTTTTTCGTCTGGTGAGATATGACATGAATCATTGTCGTCCTCGTTAACGGTCTCCAAATTGAAGTGTAGTTTCTTTTTAGAATGTGGTGTTTTTTATTTTGTTTTTAATGCGGATTTTTGTAGTGATTTTTGTGTTGAATGTCCTTGTGACGGTGTTTTTGGTGTGTTGACTAAATAAGCCGAGTCTGGTGCTGGTTCTACAACAGGATCGTAATCGTTCTGTCTAGGTTGTTCATGTTTGCTATTACCATGTGCCATAGGGGTATATATCGTCTCATCGCCAGTGTAATGTACCAAAACTAATGTAGGTCTATTTGTCAACCAATAGCCTACCTTTTTGAATTTTAATGAAAACCTCGGTCTTACACGTCCAGATTTGATCTCAGTACCTGAAATCCTTACTTTGTAAAAAACTTTACCTATTTCAACATCATTGGCCTTAATTGTTCTACCTCCATCACGAATCCACAAGTACTGATCACACTTCCAGTCCTCCGTGTTGATAGACTCAATAACAAAAACATCACCTGCTTTAGGTTTTATTGGTGGCAATGAAGTGACCTTACTCATGTCAGGATATGACAGAATACTTACGATTGTCTCCTTGCTTTTAAATATACAATCAATTAGTGTTTCGATGTGTTTTGTTTTCAATTGTATTCCTAGTAAATAATTAGAACATAAAAAACTAAATATCTTCTCATAGGTACTCATTACCACTCGCTCGGTTTACGGTTGACATAACAGAATACACAAATACACAGATTCAATGACAGGTCTTAAGTTTGGCACGTGCCAACCAATTATTTAATTAGCTATAGGACGACTGTTGGGCAGATTTTTGAGGTTTTATTATCAAATGAATATTTTTTTTTCTTTTCACAAAATTTATTGTTCATACTTTACAACGAATAACAAAAATAATAATATTCTATTCAACTTTCTATTTCGATTTGAAAAAAAATTCCTCACAAGTTAAGACAAATAAGTTACTATCCTGGCAGATTTTTATCTACTTTAAGAATGAAAATTGATCAATTTCTTTAGTTTTATATTATAATTGTGTCTGTTACTTTATGATAGTATCAAAATAGTATGTCAAACAATCGAAATAAAGAAAATATTTCATTTATAGTTAGAAATTGTGTTGTGAATTTCCGCCATTTATACAGAAATTTAACGGAGTAGGCTACTGTCCTGGCAGATTTTTTTTGTGTTAATGAAATAAATGTCCATATTTTTTTATATTTTCTTAAAGCTTATACTTTAAACTTTTCAATGAACCAACATTTGCTTACCAGACATTCATTTTGAAGAAGATATTTAACTTTATATTACGATTTTGAGGTAATTTCAACAAAATTTCTAACGTAATCGGCTACTGTCCTGGCAGATTTTTTTAGCTTTAAAAATCGAAAATTATATTAAATTTTAGATCTTTAGAATGATTATTCCCTTAACTTTATAATCGTACAAAAATATTATGCCAGACAGTTGTTTTGGAGAAATGATTTCAATTATAAGTAAATTTTTCTCGGTAATTTCAGCCATTTTTTTCTTAAAATTTAACTGTCCTGGCAGATTTTTTTTAACTTATTAATTTTTTATTTTAATTTTTTTTACAAATAACGTAAGTATATACCCTGTTCTTTATTATACAGTTTATATTTCAACAATATGTTGAGTAAAACAAAAGAAACAGATGAAAACGTATCAAAAATAACTGTCCTGGTTTTATCTGTCCTGTTTTTAGACCTTCCCCAGTCATTAGTGTAACCCACGTTCAGGTTTTTAGTGATACCCTGCCTTTATTTACACTTATAGGATACAAAAACAATTTCGTGCGAAATTTAAACTGAACATTGATTTCTCAACATTAGCGTCCATGGGTAAATTATTTGCTATTGCTAAATAGGCTATTCGGATCTCCTGTAGTCTGGTAGTTGGCGTTCCCAAATACTGTTATAACAATACTAGGCCTATAGAGATAGTTTACGACTTCTGTTATGAAGTTCTGAAAACAATTTTGTGGCTCCTTCTTCTTCCAAATTATACCAGTGCAGTATTTAGCATTGATGTTACACTGCTGGTTTGTTGGTAGTCGTTCATTACAATCAAGGCTGATCTTCTTTGTACACTTTCTAGTTTCTGTATATTATTATTATTAAGGTTGGTAAACGGGCCCCAAACTGAGCATGCATTCTCAAGCAACATGCAATGGTCTAACTAGTGTGTGTAGCATACAGCTTTTGTTTATTGTGGACAGTGGTGCAGGTTTCTTTGGATGAGCAGAGGGCCCTAGTTGAATTTGCCTTTTTAGTTATGCTTTGTCTGTACATGTGTTTGTTCCAATTAATGGTTTTATGGATTGTTACACCTAGGTATTTTGCGGTATCAGGTCTGTTCGCTCCCAATTCACTTTCGCACCCTACACATTGGCACCTCGCACGTTCGCCCTATAGGTCCATTCACACCCTATACGTTTGGCTTTCATGTCGATCCAGCCCCAAGTCGATCTGTCCCTAGTCGTTCCATCCAAAGTCGATCCGTCCCAAGTCAATCCGGCCCCATATTTATAGTCGATCCGTCCCCAATATAAAAAGATTTTTAAGGAATAAAAATAAAGATCTATAGGAATTCAGTCAGGCATTCATAAAATTGAGAATGGAAATTGGGAATGTGTCAAAGAGACAACAACCCGACCATAGGACAGACAACAGCAGAAGGTCACCAACAGGTCTTCAATGCAGCGAGAAATTCCCGCACCCGCAGGCGTCCTTCAGCTGGCCCCTAAACAAATATATATACTAGTTCAGTGATAATGAACGCCATACTAAACTCCAAATTGTACACAAGAAACTAAAATTAAAAATAATACAAGACTAACAAAGGCTAGAGGCTCCTGACTTGGGACAGGCGCAAAAATGCGGCGGGTTAAACATGTTTATGAGATCTCAACCCTCCCCCTATACCTCTAGCCAATGTAGAAAAGTAAACGCATAACAATACGCACATTAAAATTCAGTTCAAGAGAAGTCCGAGTCTGATGTCAGAAGATGTAACCAAAGAAAATAAACAAAATGACAATAATACATAAATAACAACAGACTACTAGCAGTTAACTGACATGCCAGCTCCAGACTTCAATTAAACTGATTGAAAAATTATGTCTTCATCATATGAATATCAGGCACAATCCTTCCCGTTAGGGGTTTAGTATCATACCATCATAACATATATGAGAAAAACATAACCCGTGTCATGCCAACAACTGGTTTTTTAATAAATGTGTTTAGTGCCGATGCAAAGACCCTATAAGTGAATCAATATTAACGCCAAAATATGCAATCTTTAATGACCTGACAACAGTATCGTACCTATATACAACCTATAAATGTTTATAAATTTAATTTTATAATAATACAAAAGGTGGACGGTAAAAAAATTGGCCTTTGACATTTGAGTATTAAATTTTCATGAGATGAGACATTTATTTAAATATTTTTTTTTGCCCCCGCCGTAGTGGTGGGGGCATTAAGTTTTACCCTTGTCCGTCTGTACGTACATTTGTATGTACGTCCCAAAATTGGTTTCCGTTCTCTCACTTGAGTTTGCCTCAACCAAATGTTATGAAACTTAAACATAATGCTTATTACCACAAACCACAGATCAAGTTTGAATTTTGGTGGCGTCACTTTAACCGTTCTAGAGTTATGCACCTTTATAAATGGAAAAATTGCAAAATGTTTAGTTTCCATTCTCTAACTTAGTTTGCCTCAAACAAATGTTATGAAACTTATACACAATGCTTATTACCACAAATACAGATCAGGTTTGAATTTTGGTGGCGTCACTTTAACCGTTCTAGAGTTATGCCCCTTTATAAATGGAAAAATTGCAAAACTTTTAGTTTCCATTCTCTAACTAACTTAAGTTTGCCTCAACTAAATGTTATGAAACTAATACACAATGCTTACTACCACAAAACACAGATCATGTTTGAATTTTGGTGGCGTCACTTTAACCGTTCAAGAGTTATGACCCTTTATACAATGTAAATGGAAAAATTGCAAAATTTTTATTTTCTTCTAAATATCAAGTAATTTTTAAAATTGGGTTTTATCTTCTTTTGTCCATGATTATAGTTGAATCAACTACAATCAATGCTTTATACAATGCAATGTTTAATTTTGACTTCCTCTGATAAAACACAGATCAAGTTGAATTTGGGTAATGTCACTTTAACCATTATTGAGTTATGCCCCTTTATAAATCGAAAGATTGCAAAATTTTTAGTTTCCATTCTGTAACTTAAGTTTGCCCCAACCAAACATTATGAAACCTATATACAATATTCATTACCACAAAACTAAGATCAAGTACAAATTTTTCATTTCTGTTCTCTTAACTTTAGTTTGTCTCAACCAAATGTTATAAAACTTATACACAACCGTTCTAGAGTTATGTGTGTTTACAAAAAATAAATTGCTGAATTTTATAGTTTCTGTTTTCTTATTAAGTTAGCCTCAACCAAATGTAATGTGACTTACACACAATGCTTATTACCACAAAACTCAGATCAAGTTCAAATTTGGGTAGCGTCACTTTTACCGTTCTTCAGTTATGTCCCTTTATAACTATATGATATGCAAGCGGGGGCATCATCTGTGTCCACATGTGGACACTATCCACATTTATTGAAATTTATATTAAGATTTCATATAGAAATATAATATTATTTTTATATAAAATATTTAAATTCAAATCAATTTATCACCTTTTAAAAATGAATATGGATGATTATGCAGTATAAAACAATTTTGTTGATTATGTTTGTATTACAAGTTTTCAAGACTATTGGGTATGCATAATTATCATAAAACATATATATATATAACAGAATTTAGTACCATCAACATTAATCATCAGTAATTAGCATTTTTTCAATTGATTGTGATTTTAACTGTCTTTCAACTGATGTAATAACAAATCATTACAAGCAGATCCCCAAGCTGATGCATATACAAATTTTTGTTTGTTTAAAGTTATAAAAACTTCTCAAATTGAGAATTGTTATTTGATTTGCCGAATCCTTGTTATAAAAGAGGAGACAGGATGGATTGTTCTTTTAATATCACAATTTGATGGTACAAAAAAAAAAAAAAAATAGAACACAGAGAAGACAGTGGCAAAAAGAAATAATAGTACATTTCTTCTTCATGTTACCTGAAAAAGAACTATAACAATTAATTATTAGAACTTCAAATAAAAGACATTGTTGTTAGCCATAAGTAAATTTTATCAATGATTTTATTTGAATTAAGTGATAACGACTGGCGTAAATTTGGTTCACGGTCATTAGACATTTGTTGAATAAACAAACCAAATATAGACTAATGATTTGATTTAAACAAGTCATTATGATGATTACATAATTATATGTTCCATTGGATTGTAAATATCTATTTATCTCTTCTATGTGTGAATTAAATAAAAACTTTTTTCCCCGTGATATTCCAAGTTATTATAGAAATAACTTCATATTTATATGCTGATGCTGCTTTTCAAACAGTACCAATCATACTAATTATCGTATCGATTTAAAATAATTCATCTGATGTTACTCAAATATTAGGCTTACTTCACTTACATGAACTGTCATTTAGCATCGATACTTTTTACAAATTCCATTTATCCCGATTCAAATATGTCACCAAATCCTCCGAGGTTAATATAAATTATCCATTATTTTATTATGGGGCCTGATCGACATTGGGCCGGATCGACTTGAGACTGATTGACTTTGGGCCGGATTGGTTTGGGGCCGCACCCAACTTTTATTCAAATTCCAGTTGAATTATTAGATATTTTTTATATGTATATATACCAAAATATTTATATTTTCCTGAATAAAAATTGGGGAGTTATTATATGAAATGTTTTTTTTATTAATTTGATGATTAATTACATGTATTAAATGTTAATTATGTATGATTACTGTTAATTGATGTTTACACAGCTAAATTTGGTATTATTGTTATTACTTGCTTTGATGTAAATACTGCAAGTAGTTAGCTTGGTATGAGTAAAAACAAAGAAGATTTTAAATGAAAAATATGAAAGATAATTGTTTTTAACTGCTTGGCCCCTTTGATCTCATGTGTTATGAAACAATGAAAAAAACGGACTCAGATTCGTATTTTGCTGAGTCAACCAATTCTAAATTATTCCCATGAATCTTGCAATGTGTGGGATGTGTTTTGCGCTTGTTGGTTACACATAGAAGTTAGCGTTTGCTGGGATGGAATTCCATTTGCCAATCATATTCCCATTTGAGCAAGTTATTCTTGGAGTAGTTTTGAGTCTGCATCATTTTGGATCCTTCTGTATTGTACGCAGTCATCTGCAAAGAAACGAACTGTTTATGACTGTACATTATCATAGTCTAGTACATGTAGGCTTTTGATAAACAGTAGTAACATGAGTGCACTGCCCTATGGTACTCTGGAGTCGGGATTGGACAGGTGTACTGCAGTGTGAGATGTTTTACCGTCCACAATGACTCTCTGGCTTCTAGAGCTTAGAAAATCCCTGATCCATTGAAGTGTTGGTCAGCTTATACCATAGTAATGGGCTTTCTAAAGTCATCTCTCATGATGGACTTTATCAAATGCCTTTGAAAAATCAAGCAAGATAATGTCAATTTGTTCACGGAGGTCTATGTTCTTAGCCAAGACCTTTATTGTAAGGATCAGTTGTGACTTGCAGGAAGGGTTCTTTTTAAATCCATGTTGAGTTTCACCACCATCCAAGCCACAGGTACTTGTCTATGGAAAAAAAATTATCTCTATACTTTAATAGTGAATATTAAAGTAGAATGGGTGGCCAATATTCGCCGTTGACACATTTTTGCCATTTTGCATTTTTCTCTGGATGCATGTCAAGTTAGGATGTGTATGCTATTTGTTAAACAGTGATCCATAGTATACGCATTTGATGTATTTTATCATTGGCATGATAAGTTTTCAGAAGTTTTCAGAGGAATATAAGGCCAAATAAAAATATATATGTGGTTCCGGTTACCCAACCGACCCTAGTTTTTTGTGGCCGTCTTGCTGACCCTAACATTTTTTTTGTGATTTTGGAAATATTTTCAACTTCCGGAAAAAAAATGGGTCCATTCCGATTACTACTGGGGTTTTATATTTATCAAAACGGCATGTTTTTTTTTAATTTATAAAGACATTCAGAGATACAGAAATTTATTTTTTTAGAAATTTGTTAAATCCATTGATTATGCAAACCAGAGACATATATATTTCTGTCTCTGTTCAAACTAATCAACATATTTTCTTTCACTTCTGGCACTGGTTACTTGAGCGTTGATCAAAAGATTCTAATTTTCACTAAAAAAATTGTTTCTTCATTAAAACATGATTGACATTGCCTTAAGCATTTGTTAAGTTAAAGTTTGAATCATTTATTGCATATTAAAAACATCATATCCCATTCCAAATCACTTACACAAGGTTGTTATTTTGCAATCTTTCTGCGGATGTCAAGTCGTATTTACATTCCGGAATTTAGGTTGCTCTTTTGTGTACCCTACTTAAGTCAATGTTTCTGAACAGTGTGTTTGGACAAAAAATACAGTTTCCACTGAACATACTTTCCCAAACTGAGGGATGAATAAGATGTAGAGAAATATGAAATAATTTTACATACACATGATACAGGTGAAAATGAATTTTTAAGAATTTTTTTAATTTTGTATTTACTGCATGATAAAAGACCTAAAAGCACTAGCGGACTTAGGTTTATAAAGATAGCAAAAAAAGAAAAAGGTCATTATACATATTCAAATTAATTTCTGTATATTATAATGAAAGTACTTCAGTTAACTGTGTATGTAGAATATTAGGCAGTGTTAAAAAGTCGTGAAAATTCAAAAAAGACTATCATTATCCCTATGGGCCAGGAAATACTACCGTGCCACCTTAACTGTTATATATATATATGATGTAACTTAATTAATTAAAGTAATTTTTACGTACTCAATTTGTAATTTTATCAATAAAAAGTTGATTAAGGGCAACAAGAATAAGAACAGCCCTTAAATTCCACCCCTGGGAGCGAAAATTGCTGATTCAGCAAATTTTGCCTTTAGAATCTGTTGGTAATAATGTCAAAATTTACCTAGAAAGTAGAACTTTTTAATTTAAATGTAACTTGCAATAGACTTGATTATAAATGATAGCTTTAACTTTTTGCAGTGTCAGACACATGTGCAACCACTTGAATTTGAGTCGCAACATATTTTTGTTGCCAAATTCTCTCATTTTCATGTATTTCACTGCTCATTTTTTTTGCACTCATGCAGGTTGTGTCTGTAATATACCTTATAGATTTTTTAGGGTGTAATCTAAGCCCCAGCTCCTGGATAGTTTATTTATTCATTTCAAATTTGTGCATGGGCTCTTTTGAACAAAAAAATGTTGCTCAGTATGTTTATATAATCTGATTAATGTACATGATAATATCTGGAATACATGTACTATGCATGCACAGTAAATAAGCAAATATTTTTGCCAGTTTTCGATTTCTATAATTTGTATATTGGTTTCGAGCAAATTTCACACATAAATATGAGGTTAAATATAAGAGGGTTAATGAATATTTTTGAGTCATAGATAACAGCGAAAATGTGTCCTCCATGGTCATGATGGTATGCAGAATGCTCGATTTCTTCTCGAGTTTGTGTTAATCCCAATATAAAAAATAATTACAAGTAATAAAAGTGATATATATGTATATTTGACTTGTAGTAAAATAAATGGGGAATGTGTCCATGGGACACAGATGATGCCCCCGCTTGCATATCATATAAAGTTATAAAGGAACATAAGTGAAGGACCGTAAAAGTGACACTACCCAAATTTGTACTTGATCTGAGTTTTGTGGTAATAAGTATTGTGAAAAAGTTTCATAACATTTGGTTGAGGCAAACTTCAGTTAGAGAACGAAAACGAAAAATTCAGCAATTTTTCCATTTGTAAACGGGCATAACTCTGGAACAGTTAAAGTGACGCCACCAAAATTCAAACTTGATCTGTATTTTGTGGTAATAAGTATTGTGTATAAGTTTCATAACATTTGGTCTAGGCAAACTAAAGTTAGAGAACGGAAACGAAAAATTCAGCAATTTTTCCATTTGTAAAGGGGCATAGCTCTAGAAAGGTTAAAGTGACGCCACCAAAATTCAAACCTGATCTGTGTTTTGTGGTAATAAGCATTGTTTGTAAGTTTCATAACATTTGGTTGAGGCAAACTAAAGTAATAGAACGGAAACCAACTTTGGGATGTACGGACAGATGTACAGACGTACAGACAGACAAGGGTAAAACTTAATGCCCCCTCCGCTACGGTGGGAGCATAAAAATGTTGATGCATTTGATTAATGATAGCAATGGTGGATGTAAAAAAATTGTGTCTTTGATGCACATTAAACATGTTAAAATTTATTATTTTCATTGTAGATGAGATTTTTTGAATTTTTATTGGGCTTCTGTTGGTTTTCAACCAGGGAATTACTTGAATTTTAAAATCACTTAATCATTCAGATTAAGTAAATATTACAAAATGGAGTTATCTACCTTTAATTTAAACAAGTCTAAAATCACTTTATTGAGTAGTACATTTATTGAACTAAAACAAGAGATTTTGTTACCTATTCTACAAGATTCAAAACTGAGCTGTTTTAAAGGATATTCTAGCTAACCCTGTTTGGAAAAATATGACGAACATTATTATGTCATAGTTGTAGCATTTGAAAATAAATTCAAACCAAAAAATGTATAAAACTGCTGAAAATGGAGTACATCAAATTTTTCTTTGAGTGTTTTATTTAAATAAACCTAAATCTGATTTATCATTTTAACAGTTTTTTCATAAAAAAATGTGAGACTTTTTATATAATTGTGAAGTCCAATTTATGTCTTATTTCTGGGAATGAAGAGATACTTCTTAACAAGTGAATAAAAGATCACTTATTTAAGTAATTCCTGTGACTGGTTCTGGATGATCTCTTTCTGCAATAACTCACTTCCTTTAAACTAGTTCTCAGTTTCAGTTTTTGTCTTTTTGTCTTAACTGTATGCTCTGTAGTCTACTAGATTCTGTAGAAGCAATTTGAACAGCCCTCTTACTTTCTTACATGGATGGGTAATGACGCCACAACTTAGAGGTCACATCTAGAGATCCTTTACTGAAGTTACCACCAGTGTAGTTTATTCTATATTCTAACATTCATGGAAATAATCTTTCATTTGTTATTATTTTTCATGTTCATTTGTATAATTTTTGTCAGTTAATTTTTTTTATAACTTTTGACTTCTGTAATTTCAGAGCACCAGCATAACAGCCAGATTGTGGAGCAGGAGGACATTGAAGATAATTTCCACAGAAGAGGTGCTGATTTAGCAGAAGAAAATGCTGGAAATGGTATAGTAACTATTATCACATATGACTTGTTCAGTTAGCTATTTGTAAATGCATCTGGTCATATATAAACTAAAAAATTCTTAATAATAGATAGTTATCTTTATTTTAACATTCAACTATCACTGTCTAAGGATAAACAGCATAATGGAAAATGTCAAGTTAATATTAACAATATTTTGAATAGAATGTATTAAAATAGTTTATAATCTGAATACCAGATATAAAGGGAGATAATAATATCACAAACCAAACATTCTACTATTTCCTTAACCTTATTGATGATATAGCCCTCTTGCCTCTTCTAAATGACTTGACAAATCAATATCAATGAAAACCAGAAATACATCAGTCCACTGACTAATATTTACAGTTGATGATTTTGGTTTAGATTGTAGGACACCATCTTTTATTATTAAAGTATTGGAATTATCATCAATTGGTACCAGTTTTGACAATAAACAACCCAAATCAACATATTCACCATATAAGATTTTTTGTCTAATATTGCTTGAAATATTATTACCCACATCATTGCTGATGCTGGGAATTTCATGTACAGAATTAACATTAGATTCAAATTTTGTTATGAACCTTGTCCATTGATGTTTTGTGAATGATACACAGGCACTACTTACTCTTCATTGATTGCCAAGTCCTCTGAACTGGTAGATGGTCCTGGTGCACTAGTTGTTAAAAGTTGCATCCAGGGCACTACATCATGTTCTGTTTGGGACGGTGATGCCGTCCTGTCATTCACAGCAAAATGTGCTGTTCTCCTTCTTTCAACTCCTTTTTCCCTTGTGACAGTTTTTTCCCTAGGCATCACTAAGCTTCCAATAAATGAACACAGTATAAGTAAAAATGATAATAGATGAAAATCTTAAAATAGATGTATAACTAAATTTAGAAACAAACAACCCAATAACTATGACAGAAAAGAATGGGTAATAAAGACAATTAATTAAATGTACGATGAATGTTTTCGTCAAAGTTTTCTTGGCATCTTGAAAAGGGAATCATTTTTTATTTGGTCAGCTGCATGACAATGTTAAGTTGTAGCATGTAAGCAGTTTTTACATCAGCTGTGCAGCCACTTCCGGTTTACTAATATTTTGAAAGTTTACAAAACTCAATTGTACAAAGAAAATTTTCTTCAGGGGAATAATTTTATATTTGGTCTTGTACTGTATAATGTTGCAGCTTCATGATAATTTTTGTAAATAATTATATAAAAAAATTGTTCTGAAGTAGTATATTGCTACATACATGGAAATAATCTTTTATTTGTTATAATTTTTCATATTCTTTTGTACAAATTATGTCAGTTCATTTTATTTACAATTATTGACCATTGTTGTTTCAGAGCACCAGCATAACAGCCAGATTGTGGAGCAGGAGGACATTGTAGATAGTTTCCTCAGAGAAGGTGCTGATCTAGCAGAAGATAATGCAGGTATAAGTATAGTATCTTTACCTACATATGACTTGTTCAGTTAGGTGTTTGTACATGTTGTAAATGCATATGGTCATATATACACTATAGACTTTCTTAATAATAGATATTTATCTTTATTTTAACTTGCAAATATCACTATTTAAGGAAAAATAGCTTGTAACGAAAATGTCAAGTTAATATTAACAATATTTTGAACTGAATTTATTAAAATAGTTTATAATCTGAATACCAGATATAAAGGGAGATAATAAAATCACAAGCCAAACATTCTACTATTTGCCTAAATTTAATCTACAGTATGATTTGTTCAGTTAGCTGTGTTTGTTAATTAATGCATCTGGTCACAAATAGCAATAGGTCAGCTATATTTAGTTTATGGAATAATTGTAAGATGTACATGTCTGTCTGGCAGGTATAATCTGACCTTGACCTCATTTTCATTGTTCATTGGTCAATGTTAAGTTTTTGTGTTATGGTCGATTTTTCAATTACCATAAGCATGATAAGCAATAGGTCAACTATATTTGGTGTATAAAAAAAAATATAAGGTGTATCCAGGGCTCACACTAGTAAGCGACTGGGGCGAAAAAGTCGCTTTCCCTTCCGTCACTTTGCTTTGCCCGACCGTCAAAAGCCATATCTAGTTGCCCTGTTGTTCACAATACTCGCTTTCAGTTGCTTTCATCATCGGCAATTTTCAATTTTTACCAAGTCGATGAAACAGCAATTTTTCATTTATAAGTAAAGAAATTAAAAGACATAAATGATTTATTTTCTGTAGAAAAGAGGTTAAAGCATCAACTTTACAGTTGGTTGCAAGTTATTTCATACAGACGTTTTTTTTTATCTCTTCTGATACTAGCTGTGGAACTGTAGCTCTTAGGTCCTTATGATATTTTTTGACTATTTGCGGATAGTCTGCAAATAGTCAAAGAATATCATAAGGACCTATGAGCTACGGTTCCCCAGCTATTCTGATACTTGTTACTCGAGAGCGTACCTCAAATCATTCTAACTTTAGGCAAAATAAGTTTGTTACTTATTAAGGATGTGATGAAAGTTGCCTTTAGTAAATGTTTAATCCATTTATTGCATTAAAAAACGTCATGTTCCTTTCCAAATAGCTTGTCAAACATCGTTTATTTTTGTAAATTTTCTTTGTCTGCCATTGAAATATTTGTACGAACTACGGATCGGAGACGGGATTCATGGGAAACAGACCAGATATGACCGAAATCCGTATATTTACTATAATAACTACAAACGCATGAATGGCACAGCTGACAGAAGAATATTGATCCCAAAAGGAAAAATTACGCATTACACACGCAATAACAGACTTTAAGTTAGATCTACTTGATTAATGTATATATTTCCATGTATATGCATTGTTTCAATTTATTGATTCAAGTTGTTTAACTCTGGACTATTATACTAATATCAATTTATTATGTCCCGGCAGCTTAACTTTGTTAAATTTATATATCTTTTTAATGAGAAACACTGAATTTTATAAACATGATAAACAGAATAGTTTTTAATTGAATTTGAATTGTGATATTATACTTTCTTTTCCTTTTTGATATATAAAAAAAGTGCTAGATATTTAGTTGTTAGTTTCTGAGAAGAGGACTAAGATATGATAAAACTTAAACAACTTTGAATTTGAACTGTTCCTTTAATTGTATACTCACTACTCATGTATGAATTGAACAATTAAAAAAAAAGATCCATATGGTCCTTTATATTATAATAAAAACCAAATAATGTAGCGCCTGCGGGCGAACGAGCACTTCTCTTTCAAATCTCACCACTTCTCCCTATCATTTTCAAAAAGAGAAGTCACTTCTCCCTATGATTCTAAAGTAGTGTGAGGCTGCCCTGTGTATCTGTGTCTGTCTGTCAGGATTTATATGAGGCCATAAAAAAGAACATGTTTGTTTGCCCTAAACCTACCTACCCAGAAAATAGCTGCCTACTCAAAATCTTTTATTATCCTTATGTGAAAAAGTTTTTTTTTTAATCAGATAGGCATGAAGACTAAAAAACATCTGACACTTCAATTTCTCTTTGCCAAAAAAAAAGAAGAAAATACCTACCTAACTACCCACTGTCTCTACCTTTGGATAGGGTTTGGGCAAACCAAAATATTTTTAAGTGTGGACTGACCTTGACCTCATTGTCATAGATCTTTAAAAATGTTAAGTTTATGTGATACTCTTAGTAAACCTTTATCATTAAGACTTTCAACATAAAATCATTGGCCAGTAAAGCAAGCGAGACATTTCAGCATATGCACTCTTGTTTTTTCTTGCAACTTTCAATATTTAAAGATAAATAGCTTGTTAGGAAAATGGTAAGTTAATATTAACAATATTTTAATAATTTATGCATTACTGTGACTTGACTGTAAGTGTTGCTCTCCACGTATTGCAATTTATTTAAAATTCTGACCAAATTGCAATTTGTGTTATAAAACCAAATTGTTCAACTGGTCAGAAATTTGAACAAACTGTGTGGATAACAAGTCAAGTTGTGAAAGTGCAAGGTGATAAAATAAAGCATACTTACAATCCTATAAGACTTAAATTCCACTTCAATGATATTATGAAAAATCAGTCTAACAAATTTTATTGTAATTGCCATGCAGCTAAAGGTAGTAATTTTGAATTGCTATTAAAATGTCCAAATTAAGCTTTCGTACAATTTTTCCTTAGAATAGTCTTCTAAATTCATAAGAAAATAGAATAGGATTGTAAGTATGCTTTATTTTATCACCTTGCACAGCAGTTTGTTCAAATTTCTGACCAGTTGAACAGTTTGGCTTTATAAAACAAATTGAAATTTGGTCAGTCAAGTCACAGTAAAATAATTACATGAATACATGTACCAGATATAAAGGGAGATAATAAAATCACAAACCAAACATTCTGCTATTTCCTTAATTTTATTGATGGCATTGTTTTGGATACTGAAAATATATGCAGTTCACTGATTTCTGCATTTATTTTACACCATATTCATAAGACACATTAGTTAAATGACCTGCAGAACAATTTGAACTTCAGCTTCTGTGCTATGTATGATAAAGTCTTAAGATATTTGTAACTTATAACATTACAGATAAAAGATGAAAATACATGAAAAAAATTTAAAAAATCATAGCGACAAATATTATATCTCAACAAATGGCCTTCATCAGTGTTAGTCCCTTTTCAAAATGGGATTAAATGCTCTTTGTGTGTTAAAAAAGCTGACTCATACAGGTAAACTTGTGTTTTGCTCTATAATCCTGCACTTTATCAATAAGATAAAATTCAATACTTAGTACAGTGAAGTAGGCCTGAATGCATATGTATACATCCCTATACTCTTAAGTAGATGTGAAAGTGGACCTGAAGCTGTCAAATGGAATAATTTTTTTAAGGATTTGCATCAATTGTTCTTCTGAAATGAATGTTAAAATTAACTGTGTTCTAGGATAAATATGTACTTTTGACATCCCAATATTTTTGTTCAATAGTTGTTCATATTGGTAAAGGTGGAAACAGTGGCGGATCCAGAAATTTTCAGAAGGGGGCCCACTGACTGCCTAAGAGGGGGCCCACTCCAGTCATGCTTCAGTGATTCCCTATATAATCAACCAAATTTTTCCCACAAAGGGGGGGGGGGGGGGGGGATGGGGGCAGGGCAAATTTTCAAAATTTTTTTGGGGGTATTTTTTTTTTTCAATTTTTTTTTGGGGGGGGGAGGTTCATACTCTTTTTCTTCAAGATTTTTCAAAATTTCAGATTTTTACAATTTTTTTTTTGGAGGGTACAAATGTTTTTGGGGATTTTTTTTTCCATAATTTTTTGTTTTTTTTTTCCCCAAAATTTTCCATTTTTACATAGATTATTTCTGATTTAAATATAAAAGCAACAAATACTGATATGGCAGGAGATGCACACCAAACAGGGTGTGTAAATTATTATATATAACAGATTAACTAAGTATTGTGCAACAGCACAGTATTGCGCAATAGCAAGAAATCTTCAAATGAAAATAGATACAAATCTTTTAACCAATTTCAATGGGATTAATTTAAAGTCTTTAATTTTTGGGGGTTCTAACCTTGTATTACTATTTTGGATATTGGGCCCCATTTTTAAATTGGTCTACATTGAGGTCCAAAAGGTCCAAAATTAAACTTTGTTTGATTTCATCATAAACTGAATTATTGCGGCTCTATGATATACTGGATCTTATTGTGCATTTAGATTTTTTATTTTGGGCCCTGTTTTCAAATTAGTTTATATTAAAGTTTAAAGGGTCCAAAATTAAACTTTATTTGATTTCAACTAAAATTAAATTTTTGGTGTTTTTTTATATGCTGAATCTAACCATGTTGATAGATTTTGGATATCAGACCATACTAGGTAAATTAAATGTCCCATTTCAAATTTTTACGATCTTTGACCACATTTATTTTGTGTCAGAAACCTATATTATGTCAAAAATTTGATCACAATCCAAATTCAGACAGTATCAAGCTTGAATATTGTGTCCAAACTTGCCCAAACTGTTCAGGGTTCGACCTTTGCGGTCGTGTTTAGGCTGCGCTTGTCGAAGCATTTTTTAAAACTTTTTTTTATAATTTTTTATGCGGCGCTATCCCTTGCCTATTGATATTTTTTGTTGAAAAGTAAAGAAAATTTTATATAGAGAATCAACAAAAATATTTGTGGGTGAGGGTTTGGGCAGCTGTTATTTTCAGAAAACTGTAAAAAATTTTGCCAAATTATGCACACAAGTATAATCAGGTTTTAACAAAATTCCCCTACATTTATGACCATATAAATACAACACCAATGAAGCCATTGGTGAACATCTTTTTTAACAGAAGCACTTGGACATATTAACATATGTTTTCATCAAATTATCAAAACAATATCGCAGTTACAAAAATTCAGATTTTAAGGGCCAAAATAATGAGTAAGAGAACCACCTCCTTTACCAGTAGTGCAGCAATCTTCAAAATACAATTAAAGCAACAAATTCAACTGTGATGTTAAGCACATGTACCCAATGTTTTCCTGAATTAAATCTTTGATAAAACAGCTACTAAATAATATACAGTACACAAAATCAAATGCTATTCAAATTGTCTGGAGATCAACATTTGGTCTGAAGCAATAGACAAGTGTCTATGGAATATGTCAAGGTATGAAAGCCTTGATTCTTGAAATGTTATGAATGAATTAATCAGAGAATATCGAAAGATCTGCCATAAATGCCAGATTTTCTGTCAGGAATGAAAATGATTGAAATACATCTACAGGCAACCATTGATGAGGTTCCTGACTTGGGACAGGAAAATGAACATGTGGTGAGATGATAAATTTGTTTTTTTCAGCACTCAGCTCAACCCCTACATCTTCATCAGTAGAATAATGAAAGGTACATTGATAAGAATGTTTAGGAATAATCCATTTGTTAGTGAAAGTGTGCTAAAGAAGTTTTATTGTATTTCAGGAAATGATGATATAGAATCTTCCTCAGATTATGAAACAGATGATGAGCAGTCATTTTATGAACAATTTAAAGGTGAGAATATAACATTTGCAATGCATGTATTTTGTTTAAATATATATTTGATTCACAAGAAATGATCACTGGTATGAAGGCATCAATAAATTCTTCATGTATGATGTCCTGTTGTATGTTCCATATTCAAATATTCAATAAACCTATAACTCCTGACAGACAAACAGACAGTAAAGATAAAGCCTGATAAATTTTAATGATGTTTGTCAATTGCAACAGTTCGGCTGGCAGCTAGCCTTATACTTTAACAGATAATTTTGGTCGATTGCTGTGAATTTAGAAATTATTGCGATGTTCTTATTAATGCAAAAAATGTGACTGCATGAGTATAGCAATATTAAGAACACGAATTATGATTTTGGATACATATATTCGTATGCAGATTTTCCTGGAATCCCAATAATTGATCTTAGATTTGTATCCTTTCTATAAAAATCGCAATAATAAATGCACACAATAATTTCTGAATTTACAGTATCTCAAGTTATTTCTGAAAAGTTTCTCATTAAATAGAGCTCTAATATATAGATAGATGTATTGAGGCTACTTTTAATAATTTCAATCTTGATACAATACATATAGAACAAATTTATAGGTATTACATTAATCATGTTAATTGTAACAGTTCTGGATGAATGTAACAAGATATTTGGTGTTACAGAGGTTTATTAGTATTGTCATATTCACTAATTTGCAAGAATATCAACAATTAGTTGGTTGAAAATAAAACAGTAGAAAAATTAGAAACAATAAGTGTTTTAAACAAAAAAAACATGATATGACTTTAAATTGTTAATGCTACTTCTCCATCAAGCACTCAATGTATCGTTTGGTAAGTTCTTAAAAACTTACTATTAAAGACCAAACAGCCTATTGTTCATGCACATCAACTAACGCAACTTGGTAGTGACATAAAAGCTCTATGACGTTGTTTCTAGCCATGAAAAAAAACGTCAAATTATAACGTCCTATTTCGCGTTTTTCACGGATTCCAACATGGTGTACGCTTAAAACTACGTCTTCCGAGAAAAGTGGAATTAAGCGTCGCACTGATACCTAGTGGAAATTAAACACAAATGGACACAAAAGATACTACACTATCTGTAACCTCCGTTCTAATAAAAATAATAATAAAAATATAAATTTTGAACTCGGCTTTTTGCATTTGCACCGATCTGCATTTCACTTTTTTCTTTCACTTGCACCGATTTTGTCTTTCATTTGTGCCGATTGTGTACAGGTAAATTATAGGTGAAAGTTATTTTTTTATTTATCATATAAACCTCTTCCGTTAGCCAGTTGTACATATGTTATGAATTGTCAATTATAACATGTATATAACTGTTGTCCCCTGCTCACAAAGGGGAGGTGGGAGTATAGTTTCGAGCAGGATAAGTCAATTTAAAAGATATTTGTACACTCTGTTTACATCTACTAAAATCACGAAGTAAAATTCTATTTACAGCATTTCAAAGCACCACAATAAAATCCTTAAAAATTTAATACTAGTACAATGAATTATTATCTTGCCGAGAATTTATATGCCACACATCTGATATATTCCTTTCTTGTCATTTTATCTTTTCTATACTTGTTGTACTTTCCCAATAACGAACGGAAGTCCATCTTTTCTTTCTCGTGTCAAAACGAAGTTCTCGAACAATATGACCAAAATTATCTTAAACATAAGGGAACACTATTTATATCCATATATTACCATGCAATATACATTCTAGGTTTACTACATGTACATGTATTTACTCTTATAGCAAATAAAGTATTGGGGCTAGTGATAAAAAAAATGAAATAGGCACTAATGAAAGAATCAAATCGGCGCAAATTAAAGATCGAAATTTTTTTTAAATCAGTGCAAATCTCGTACGCCCGTGTAACTTTACACTAGTAAATTTATATGACTTACGCTTAGAATTTTAACTTAATATGGGATTTTCAAAACTGAGTTTTCAGAAGGTTAGGCCGATAAACAATACTTTCTAGAAGTTTCGATATACTGGCATGTTGAGATTAACTTATTTCTTTAAGATTCTCGTAAAATAATGGTGATCTTGAAATGAAGTTAAATTTTATCTATACTGCTTAATTGACAAAATCTTATAGTAAAAATAAAAATGATAAAGGTTCAATGTCTTTTGTCATTTGTTTCATTTCAAATTGCCTCAAGGAGAAATGATAAAGATTTCGCCTGTTCTCACAGAAGCTTAAGGCAAAAAATATAAGAAATTTATATACTCAGTGAATGTGAATTAAAATAAAAATTTACGGTTTTTAAAACTAAATTTGTTGTAAATTTAACTTATGACAAAAAACAATTGCTTCAAGAATAAGATCCAACATCAAATTTCTCACTTTCAAAAAGCTACAATGACCGGAAAGATTGAAAACAAATTTCGATTTTCAATGCCAGCAATCTATACATACAACCTTGTCTTTGTTTTAATTTCCAAAATGAGCTATTTAGATTCATAATATTTCATCCTGTTTTGAGAAATACTTTATAGTTTTCAACGGAAAATTATTTCTTAGATTCTAAATCAATTTTTGAATTAAAAACTTATTTGTATTTTATATTTACTGTCTCGTTTATTCAAAACACGTGAGGTAGTAATAACAGGGATCGTATTTTATGATAGGTTAAATGGATGTAAAACGTTTTAGAATCAAAAACTTTAATTCATATATTATACCTATAATTTTAATTTTCTTATATTTTAAATATTCAGAAATAATGAATCCACAAACTAGATGGAATAATTTGTATACGCTCGTCTTAGTAGGGACACATAATGGTATAAAAAAGTCCATCCGTGCTAATGTGTGTACGTCTGTCAACAGTAGCGAAAGAGTGCGCTAGGGCAAAGTTCTGAAATTGATGCGACAAAAAAACCCACACATCTAGTCTAATATAGTCAAATAGTCTGTAAGTTAGCCAGTGTCATCTTTCATTTCTCTTTTTATTTTCAATGATTTTGCTAATGAGAGGGAGAGGACAAAAACAGACTTTCCTTTCTAAAGCGTCGTAAAAGGTTATTTCGAACAATTTTTCATTCCGATGGATGGTGTTTCTGAAGGTTAATTTTGTGCGGCAACAACATCATGAGATCTGATACTGATACATACATGTGATCTCTTGTATTATCGGATAATAAAGTAGGTGAAAATAGTTGTTATTCTTGATTCTTGAAAATTTAAATGTGAGTTTCAAACGTCCAATTTGCTATTTTTTCAAACAGTACGACAGCAAGGAAAACTTGTACTATGATGTCAGATTCAATGTTCTGAAGAAAGACAACTCTTTTCTTAAAAACGAACGAGAAAAAACGTGAAAATTAATCATAACTTTTTTGAAAGGTCGGTGACATATACATTTTTTTGCTTTATTTTGAAGAGTACACATGGCACTTTCCTTCTTGAAAATTTTATGAAAAAATCACTGGTAGATATTTTTTAATACTTGAAACGTTTTTCATTCTTGCGTTTTATTTTTGGCGGGAATGAAATAAATCATATTTTTAAAGATCAAAACAATAAGAGTCTTAAACTCTTGAACCTGTATTTGATAGACACAAATCTACTGTTTAACATGAAACAAGAATTATGCTTGTAGGTTTGATATAATGGGATTTTTTGAGAGTTTAAATAACAAGCAAATATCATGTTAATATTCGGGAAAACACGAAACTGAGGTTGCTATAGTGACAAAACTAAGTCGGTGACCCCCAAATTTTTTTTTATCATATTTTGTCCCTCAAATCATGAAATACCTTCACACAAAATTTTAAGGAAAAATCACTGGTAGAACTGAATAGGCTGTTTGGTCTTTAAGTACATTTTTCCTTTTAATGAACACGATTTAGTTTCGTTGTGAAAATTATGAATCTCTTTTTTTTAAAACAGAATGAGACAGGACAGTATTTTCAATTGTTTTAATGATAACTAGTTTTATGAAACATGTGTTTTGAATAGATTTTTTTTCCATTTTGTTTAAAAATTGATGATTATTTATCATTAAAGACCATGTAAATGCTCTTGTATTTTTAGATTGGCATGCTTTGACAGAGGAAGAGCAGAACAATGCAAAAAGGTTCCTTGAAGAAAATTATACAGTTGTAGAACTTAAAGAAACATTTGATATTTTTTATGCCAAAAGAGGTAATAAAAACATGAAAAATTGTAACCTTGTTCTTGCAGGTTAAGATATATAATTACACAGTCAGTAACTATGTAATTGCATTGTTTGATTTTTTTATATTTTAACACATATATATATATATATTGTTTATAACTTGACATATAAACATTTTTAAAGGTTAACATTAAACTTTTGGCAAAATAGATAATAGGCAGTTGAAATATACATGTATAATAAACCATGGTAATAATTTGATGCCCATCATATTGACGTTTATCCTGTTTTTCAAAAAATCTGGCCGTCAGCACTCAGCGTGCTTTGATTTTAGATTCTATACTCTTTAAAACTGTCATTATCTTTTCAGTTATGATCAATTAGTTTCACTGGACATCTGTTGGATAGTCAAAACAGATAACAATGGACTTGGAGAAACATCTTTGCCGTGATGTCTGTCATTTTTGAAGTGCTTTGTTTTTGTTGTCCCATTGGTTTATTCTTATTTATATTTCAAAAGTTATATCAGGAATAATGCCTTAGTTTGAGTATTAAATTTCAGTTTACCTGCATTTTAATATTACATTATGACTAAATTCATTTTTTTATTTAATCTAGGAAAACGATCAAAGATGTCACAATTTAGGAAGTTTATACTCAGACAACCAGGTATGCCACGGAAGAGAAACTCTTTAGGTAATCCCATGAGTTCCCAAAGAAAAAAAATCATCTTATTTTGGCCTGTTTTCATTGAGTTGCCTGTTCTGTGTGGAATTAATGGGCAGGTTGGAACACATAAGGGATTACATATTTTGCCTAATCAGGAACTCTTCCAACAGCTTTCATCTTAGAGCCTTCAAACTTCTATAATGTTTGTATGTATGGGACGATTATACTATTCATTTTAGTATGAAAAAAGGAGATATGGTATGATTGACAATGTGACAACTATCTACTGGTGTCCAAATGCAGTGGATGTAGCAACTATAGGTCACTGTATGGCATTCTACAATAGCAAAACCCATAAAGTATAGTAAGCGATAAAAGTCCCTGACATGAAAAAGTATGAAATCAACAGCCTGATTTATGAGAAAGCAATTAAAAGTACAAAAGTTACAGACAGCAACCAACAAAAACTACTTAGAATTGCAGGCTCCTGACTTTGCACATAAAGAATGTGATGGGGAAAACTTGTTTGTGGTTCCTCAACCTTCTCCTTACCTGGGATAGGATTGTAACAGTACAACATAAGAACAAACAGACTGTTAAAATAAATTTGAAATAGTTTGACTGATTTTAAGTTATTTCATCAACAAAAAATTGGAAATCTGTTAAAGGGGTAATAAGGATGTAAAGTATTGCCTGTTTTCACCAGGGAAATATTGTAGATCTAGGAAATTCTGATATCACAATAAATTAACATTTAAACATGTTAAACAAGGAATTATTTGAATTCTGGAAAATTGATAAGCATTGTATGATGAAAACTTACCCAAATATTGAGTTTAGCCATGCATGCATGGCTAAGGGGGTGTTAGTTAGTTCATATTGAAATATCAGTGAAAGTAACTTGAACCTTAGCCATGCATGCATGCATGGCTCACCCTCTTTAGTTTGATTACATTTCATCATAAATTTCTTATCAATTTTCTAGAATTCAAAATTATTCCAGATTCAAATCATTCATTGTTTTAAAATCAAATTTAGATGAAAAAAGTTTCAAAACCAAATCTTGAACTCTCCATTTATGTATGACAGTGTTCCAGCTAGGTCGTTTTCACAGGGCGGTCCGGCCGCCCTTTCCCGAGTGACGCACTGTGTCCTTTTTCTGACGCCTTGTGCCCTTTTTAAGACGCCTTGCCCTTTTTCTGAAGTCCATAGATATAAGAAGATGTGGTATGAGTGCCAATGAGACAACTCTCCATCCAAGTCAAAATTTATAAAAGTAAACCATTATAGGTCACAGTACGGTCTTCAACACGGAGCCTTGGCTCACACCGAACAGTAAGCTATAAAGGGCCCCAAAAAATGCCTTTATTGCCATAATATTTTGATGAAAATACAATTATTCTACCTGTCTTCATGTTTATGACAAGTTTATGACCCTCAGCTAATTAACATTTACAGCAGGTGTAATAAGTTGTGATTACAGATAATCCGCTTATTGACATGGGATGGGTCATTAATCCGTCAATTAAACTTCATAATTGATCATTGTAATAATTTTTCTCATTAAATTCGGTCAGTCAGCATTTCAATTTCAATATTGCTCAAAAGATGACAATTTGCGTTTGATGTATCCGTACATCGTCTGTTGTTTATATGTCAAAGATTTTTTTTTTTAAATTGATCTTTTAAACTATTTTTAATCCAGAAGAAAGTAAAAACAATGCTTGACTGTACCTTTCATTGAATATCTATATCCAAATTAAATTAATTAAAGCTGTAATCCATGACCACAAATTGACTGCTTTGTTTACATTTGTTGAAAGCCATGTGCTTTTTTGGTGGGAAAATTCGGAAAACCCCTTTAACAATGTTTAACAAGAAACAGTTACAATTCATTGTTATGTATTGACAGTAAGATTTTCATTTTGATTAACTGCTAAGATTATTTCCTTTAAGATGAATACTTTCTTGGGGTGAAACTGATAATAATTTGATACTCTACATTTAGGGGGTTGTAAAATGGAAAAGGGGGGGGGGATTTCTTTTTTATATATTTTTATATATAATATTACAAATATAAGTTTAACAGTCTGAAAAGACATGGTTGAATGGATTTTAATTCTGAAAAAAAATCAATGTGGTTTATTATAATTCTTTTATTATTTCTATCATAACCAGAAACACTGGGCTACATGTATTAGGCATTTCAAACATATATTATTGCCTTTATAAGTACATTCAAGACTATTAACAAGTATGTACCTGTAGTAAAAATACCCTGGTAGGGCCTTAAAATTTCTACTGGGCCCTTGGAAAAAAGTTTTGGGATCCAGGTTGGCCCCTGGAGAAAATGTAAGGTATTGTTCCTGACTTTATTGCAGATCTAGTGTAGTATTTTAACTGACATGCACAAATCATTTCACTAATGAAATACAAATAATTCTACAAAACACCACTGAACCCTGCATTGCAACTTAGACTTAGACCTACCATGCGTCAAAAAAGTTCTAGGGAAGACTGAGCTAGTAATATACGTCCTTGCATGGTCCCTTTAATACTGTTACCCAAAATAAGGTTGATTTTTATCTAACGTAAAAGTGACTAAACCCCTCAAAACTCCTAGCTGAAACCCCTGCAGTTAACATAAGACAATGTTTGACATGCCCTTTTTGAAATATCAATCATCGTGATAAAGTGCCCTTTTCATGGTTGGCTCCCTGCCCTTTTGAAATCCTAGCTGGCACACTGTATGAACCAATGTTGTTTCCCTAATTAGGTTACATTATACAAATTCAAATTGACACATGCTTTGGTAGAAAGAATGTCATACAGGACGAATGTTTATTTTTTTTTAAAATACTCATGTGCAAAAGAGACTTTAAAGTATTTAAATACTGCTTTAACTTTAAAATATTGAAACATTTTGTTGAGGTAAGCCTGTTGTCTTAACAATGATGGTGGCATCAATGATTGTTAAAGATTGCTCTCTGTACTACTTTCATGACTTAAAAGAAGATGTGCAATGAATTTTTAGGAAAGTCTATATTTGATGTGTTGTATGGCAGAGCTGTTACCTTACCAATTTTTGTCGTGTTATCAGTGGAAATGTACCTTTCTGCTAGAATAACCAGTTACAGATTGACCATTTGATATATTGTTAGATTATTCTTGTCCTAAATAGGCATGACATATTTGGTGACAAAATTAAGTGTATCTTTACACAGTTTTGGTTTATCTGTATATTTTTGTTTTACTAAAAAGTACTTTTCTCACAATTTTGCAGTAAAATGTATCATTGCCCTTTTTTCTTATTGAGCTTAATGATTGTATTCAATGTAATATACACCATTGTTAATGAATTTTGTCCTTTGATTTGAAGCAAACACATTAAATTTTAGTTTTATATTCTTTTATACAGATGAAATGAACAAGAAAATGGAGGAAAAAGTGGATGAAGCAGCTGATTTAAGGATGAAGTTAGATATAAATGAAAGAGAATTAAGTAGTTCAAAAAGGATGATTGATCAGCAGAAGTATTTTCTACAAAAATTTGCAAATTGGGATTATACATTGTTAAAAAAATGTGAAGATAATGACAAATTAAAAGATCAAAATCTGAAATTACTTGAATCATACAATCACATGAAGAAAACATACAGCCCTGTTGTTAGAGACAGCCAGATAATTCTTTCCCAATTAATAGGAAAGGATGAAAGCATTAAAAGCCTTTCAAAACAGAACAATGAGAAGGATGAAAGCTTTAAAAGCCTTTCAAAACAGAACAATGAGAAGGATGAAAGCATTAAAAGCCTTTCAAAACAGAACAATGAGAATGTTGAAAGCATTAAAAGCCTTTCAAAACAGAACAATGAGAAGGATGAAAGCATTAAAAGCCTTTCAAAACAGAACAATGAGAAGGATGAAAGCATTAAAAGCCTTTCAAAACAGAACAATGAGAAGGATGAAAGCATTAAAAGCCTTTCAAAACAGAACAATGAGAATGTTGAAAGCATTAAAAGCCTTTCAAAACAGAACAATGAGAAGGATGAAAGCATTAAAAGCCTTTCAAAACAGAACAATGAGAAGGATGAAAGCATTAAAAGCCTTTCAAAACAGAACAATGAGAAGGATGAAAGCATTAAAAGCCTTTCAAAACAGAACAATGAGAATGTTGAAAGTATTAAAAGCCTTTCAAAACAGAACAATGAGAATGTTGAAAGTATTAAAAGCCTTTCAAAACAGAACAATGAGAATGTTGAAAGCATTAAAAGCCTTTCAAAACAGAATAAAAAATTGAATGAATTGAAAGTGAAGCAGAACATAGAGCTTGAAGATATGGATAGAAAATTAAAGAAACAAATGCTAATTTATGATGAATTGAAATGGGACACAAATAATAGGTTAGAAATATTAGAAAAAGAACTAATGACCAAAAATTGTGAGATCAACTCAATAAAATCAAACCAAAAGGAAGAACATCTTGAAATGAAACAACTACAGGCTCAAGTAGCTGAACTGAAAGAAATGTAAGTATTATATATGTCTCATTATGTTGAATTAATGGAGAAAAAAAGCCTCAAATAAAAAAAATGTTATTTTATCAACAAAAATGAAGAAAGAAGTATGAATTTATATCATTATTATGAAAAAATTAGATATGGCATAACATGAATAAGACAGCAATCCAGTAACAAAACAAAACATAACAGAAGGCAGAAAGAGGTCATAATAAAGTCCTCTAGAATAGACAAGGGTATAAACAATATGACAAGCTTTAATCTACAAAGTTCTAAATATATAAACAGAGATGTATACTTTATCTCTCAGAAAGAAAATAAATATAATCAAGCAAACAACAACCATCATAATCATGTGACAATAAAAAACATAGAAAGTTACCTTTCAAAAAGTTGTTTTTTCAACTAAAACCTATAACTTGAATGTGGAGAAGAAACTTCTCTTTGCAAATTCAATGATCACTGATAATTCCTCAATAACAAATATTTTATTTTGATTATTTTTTTGTGCAATATTGTATATGTTCTACTTGCCAAAAAGATATGTTTTCTTTTAAGGTTAAACAGTAGAAATGCAGTAGCAGAAAATGGATGGTCAGCCTGTACCATTCTTTAGATACTCTCCTTACAACAGCATTAATATGCTGAGTATAAAGTGTACATATTCATTACCTTATGATTTTATTGGGGTAAAGATTGCATTTAATGCAATGGAAACCTGTAAGTCAATGGCTTGATAGCTACATCTGCAATACTTCATTCTACCTTTATGGGTTCAAACAACAGAGTGTAATGACATGAATGAGGTGAACATTCTTAAGATCATATCCATGTCCATGTCTAGCAATTTATATATGGTATGCATACTCATAAATTAAAGTTACCAAATGATGTGTATGTGTATAACCTCACTTGTCAAAAACAATTTTTGATTAAAAACTAAAAAAAGTTGTGCATGGTGAATGAATCTATCTGTTATAAAAATTGGTTCAAGTTTATCTACAGTTAAGACATGTAAGAAGAAATGAAAATAACCCAAATTCAAATATTGCCCAAATGTGTTCCATTCACCTAATTGCAATTTAATGTATAATATTTAACTTCACATTGCAAAATAAGAGCAATCTTTATCCTTGAGTACCAGTAGTGCTCACAACAGGGATGGGGTAATCTGTAATCTGTAATCGTAATCGATTGTAATTGATTACATTTTTTCCAGTAATCGACAGTAATCTGTAATCGAAGACATTTTCGATTACATGTAATCGTAATTTAATCGATTACAGCAAAAATCATGATGTAATCATCGATTACTTTCGATTACTTTAGTAAATTAGTTTGATGAAATATAACCTAGTATTTTAAATGAAAACATGTATGTATTCATCACTTTGAAGTACTGATATGACTTAGAGTTTATCAACTGCCTTTATATTTCTATCTATTGTCTCAAGCTGCATTATGATCAACCAGATCCCCTACCATAATTTACTTTATATCTAGCTTTTGAAACAAATGGATTTATGTGCTTGTCAATAAGTCAACACCTTTTACATTAAAATAAGAAAATAGATTTGAAATAAGAAAATAGATTTAAAATAAGAAATGTGTCTTAAGTTAAGTTCTGTACTTCCTTAAAGTAGTAAGCTTATTTGTATTAAATTTCCTAAAAGCATAATTTTCAATAAGATTTAAGCTTAGAATAGATAAAACAGTTGATTTCTTATAATGTTAAGATATACATGTATATAAAAAATAAGTACACAAAATCCTTTTAACAATGGACCAATGCCTATGCATTGAAATTCTTTTCAGAAAAAGATACATGTATCCCTCGTTGACACTATAAATATATACTGTTTATAATTTTATTATAGAATAAAAAAATCTTAACAAACTTGTCTTTACTAATCAGATGATCAAAGTCTTCTAATCACTATATAAGACACATACTTTGTTTTTATTTCAATTACTGTTTGTCTAATTAAGATGGAGATTTACATTATTTTGCCCCAGGTTATAAATTGTACTCCATTGGCAGTTTTATAACCTATAATTAATTTGTTTTTTTACAAAAGGATTAAATCATGTTTGTCATTATAATTATAAATTTTGATCCTTAAAATTAGCTGAACTAATTAATAATTCTACTTTTTTTATATTTTCTTCTGAGAAAACTTCCAACATTGTAAATAACTATGCTAAAATATACCTGCTTTTAATGAATAAAAACAAAAAAGCTAAGTTAAGTCAGTACGAAAGCAAAATTATTGAAAAAAAACTTTAAACATATATATAAGTGATTGATGGAATGCAATGTCATCTCTAATTCATGTTGAAAGTCAAATTTCAAGATTTTTTTAATAATTCTGATCCTCAGTAAGAGATTCCATCTAGATAACAACTGTCAACTTATAATTTGGAAACAATGATTTAAATGCTGTTTTTTTTTTGGTAAAGTTCTAAACATCTACTATACAAACGTTGACCAACATGATAGTGTTTAACTTAATTTTTTTTTTTTTTAAATTTTGAAGCATGTAATTGACAGTAATCGAAAAGTAATGTAATTACTTTTGATAAAGTAATCGATTGCAATCGATTACATACAAAAATCTGAGTAATCGATTATTAATCGATTGCACAAAATACCTTCATGTAATCGATTATTAATCGATTAAATTTGTCAGTAATCGTGCCCATCCCTGGCTCACAATCACTTTGATTTTTTTTTGTATGTAATTAAATCTTCAGTAAGTAATTAAAGAAGAAAGCTAAGCTAGAGGCTTTCAAAACAAATATTTGAAAACCTGGAAATAATTGAAATATTTTTAGATGAATTGTATATTTATAGGCATGTATATTTACAAAGATGTGCTATTTTGTATATTTGTATATTTGATACTATTACAATCTTCATAACATGTATATAGCATATTAACTCAGTTGTTAGATATACATTTCATAATGAAGGAGAAGGTATCAAAATGCCCCTTACTGGGAAAACTACAAAGTGTAGTAACTATCATTTTCAGATGATCATAGGAAATAACTTTATCAGTATTAACAATACTTTATATGCATTTCTTTTTTCACGTTCATCCCTTTTTTTACACATTGTTTATACAGGAATTTAACAACCAAAATTTTCATGGTCAATCATGTTCATCCCTCACTTACACTTAGAAATATGCAACAGTTTTACTGAGTTTTTTATATTTGAATGCAATGGGTTCCCAAAAAAAAAGTTGACAAAGAACGTAAAGTTTAAGATAAAACACTTCCCTGTAGGTCTAAGTAGAAAAATCTGTCATTCTTTTTCACAATTATGAAAATGATCATGGTAAGGAAACAGTGATTGCTATATAGTCTAGAAGTGTCATTTCTGATGTCCATGTTATGATGAAATTATGTCAAATAGGATATATTTGACAAACAGTGGTCCTTTTACTTATAATGTTTGATGAATTTAATATGAGCAACACTCTTACCCAAATAGATATTTGACTCATATTAACATTTTTATAAAAACAAATTTGTGGCAACATGATTTTGGATAAGGCTGTTGCTCAATAATGAGAAGGTTTCAAATTGAGATAGTGTTGGAAGCTTTATTAGATAATTGTTTAGTGCAAGTGCAAGAAGGCCTAAAATACATATGTTACAAGAACTTAAAGTATATTATTACTCATATCTGACAGACTAAAGTGTTATGCTCATCTGATGTATGTTATTGACAGTTTTTTTTTATACAATGTAATTTTTTTTATTAAAGGGACCAATAATTTTATGTTATTTCACCTTCTTTGCATTGTAGCCAAATGATATCTAGCCCAAATAAGTGTATCAATAGTGAAAACTATGTTTATATGTTATATTTTTATAAATTAAAATTAATTTTAAAATCAACCAAAATGTGATACAAATTTAAATATTACCCATAAGAACTGTGTTTATAAATATATTTTAAATCATGAATGTCGTATTTTTAGGGATTAGATGACAGTACACATGTTAAATTAATATTGGAAAAAAATGAAATAATAAGAACTTTTTCATTTGAACATAAACTTTGCATATAATAATAGACTGTCACAGAGTTGAATTTTGATTTTTACCAAGGATGCAAAGTATTCCTAAATGCATTCCTGAGATGTGGTTTATATTTAGATAGAATAGTCCTAACATAAAATATTTTATTGTATAAATTAAGACAATCATAGCATATTCAAACACGATCGTTTTGAAGGATCATTTAAAAATATGGATAGATTTGAACAACACACTAATGTAAAATCCATGAAAATTCTTAGGTAATGCTGTTTTATATACCGGTAATATTTTACAATGCTTCCATAACAAAAAATGACATTAAATTTTATTCATATCAAAAAACCCTGTAAAAACATATTTCTGTTATATTTTAAGATGAAATTTTTATCTTCAATGGCAGCTAAAACATCTTTATTTTGAAGATCTTCAACTCAGGAAATCATTTTAATTTTCTCATTTTTGTCTTTTTTAATTTTTTGAGTTAAAAATATTTTACCCAAATATAATTTTTTAGACAGAGCTTGTTAATGAAATTCTTAACCTTATTAAATTTTATTGACTATATTTTTATTTCACTCACTGGAGTCATAAAGATTGGTTCATGTCATGCATATGATTATATGGTTCTCATTAATTCATTTTTTTAGATAGAATAGTCCCAACTTAAAATTTTTTATGGAATGATATAAACACATTGTGTAAAATTTCAGTAAGCCTTTGGTAAGGCTATTTCATATTTTATTCTATGATGCTTCAGTAATAATAAATGGCATCAGAATTTATTCATAAAAATAAACCCAGGTAAAAACATTTGTCAGTTATTTTTTTTTTTTTTATATAGTTTTTACCTTCAATGGCAGTTGATAATTTCTTTATTTAAACCCGAATTCCTTTTACTCAACACATTTGTCTTTTGCTTTATACTTTTGGTTTTTAAAATATTTTTATCCAAAGACATATTTTTAGGCAGAGCTGGAGTATGAAATGCTAAAAAACCTTATAAACTAATAAAGATTGATTATCTGGTTTTCATTTATTTATTTAAAAAAAAAATCCCTGTGTATGTTTATGATGAGTTTTTATGTGCATATTTGACAAGTTAATTATCAGGACTGATTTGAATCTTAACCAATTTTTTTTTTCAATTGATCAAGTTTTTGTTTTCATTTTTATTTTCATGAAATAAGTCAAAAAACACATTCCAACTCATTTTTAAAATACAATTATTTAAATTTTTCGAACTTGATATGCTGAAAGCCTTTGGTTTGAAAAAGAATGGAGGATGTTAAGTTTTGGATGGATTCCTCATATTTTTAGAGCTGTAAAATCAAACATGAAGTTTATTTATAGTTAAAGAATTAAGACAATTTTTAAAGTAAGGACCCCACACAAATTAGTGCCATATTGTGAAATATATGAAAGAGTGAATAAAGGTTAGAAATAGGTTGTATTATAATATTAAGTATTTGTAGTAGGCAAGATAAGTAATTTTGTTTCATGCTTTATTTATTTTGATCTGTAAAATCAGACAACCATTTGTTCTGGTGCTTATAGATGCCCAAAATTTCAATGATTCTTTTCTAAATGCAAACAAATGTATGATTGTATAATTTGTGACCATTCTATTTATCTAAAACATTTAACATTTAAAGAATAGGCATGACATGTATAAAAGTTTAATTATTTGATTAATAAGATATTGTGTGAGTGGTTGTAAAATTGAGTACAGTATAACAAAGAATTATATATATTATCAGGTTAAGCAACTGGTTCATGCCAGATATATATTATCAGGTTAAGCAACTGGTTCATGCCAGATATATATTATCAGGTTAAGCAACTGGTTCATGTATTTTATTTATGAAACTACATTTACTCATAGTTTTAAAAACATCCAAACATTCAAAAAGAGTAGGAGATTTTGTTTGTAATGTCGTATTGCATAATATTTGTGATAATTAACTTGTAGGCAAACAACAATAGAATTAGTGAAAAAACATCCTTTCCAAAACCAATTTTGATTTTATTAATTATTAGAAGTTAGAAAGATTATTTTCTCTGTAATGTATAATTTGTTTTATGTGAAATGTGTGATGCGATTAGATTTTTTTTCATCACAGAATGAATTTTTTGAATTGTATATTAATATTAAAGGGTCATGTTTAAATTCAGAAATTAATTCAAACTTTTTAAATTAAGTGTAAATTATGACAAATATTCCAATAGTGTTGAATATTGCATTATATACTGCTCCAACCTAAAATTAACCACGTTAATAAATCTTGCATTATTGTCACTTGTTGAAGATACAATACAATAAATATATTGATAGATTTAGTTCAAAAAATTAAGGATGTTTGCTCCTTTTGTTTTTGAATTTTTGCCAGATATTCAGAATCCTCTGGTTTATCTATGTAGTGCCATTAAAAATTTTGCCAACAAACCCCTACTTTTCTTTCCATAATTTTATGACATATATTTTAAAAAGCCATTTTTGAAAATCTTCTAAAATCCTTGTTATTTTTTCATAGTTTTTGAAAGAAAAAAGGTTAAATGTATGAAAAAGCTAGAGAGAATCACTTCCCATCAAATTTTCAATGGCTTATATCTCGAAAACAAGCACATGAATCCTTCTATATTTTCTGCTTTTTAAATTCCTTTATTCATATACTTTCAATTTATAACAGTCTTTTCAAAAACTTTTTATTTTAAAACAGAGTAGCAAACATCCTTAAATTATATAGGCAGCATGATAATTTCAGCAGATTTCACCAAATTGTGTTCTTAATTGTTGATATGCAATAGTTGTAGGGAGATTTAAAGATTCATATGTTTGCACTGCCATTTAACAAAAACATGTTTCTATTTGTACACCCTTGTCATAAACAGGACCTTTTATGCTATACTGTTGTCCATCTGTCAGTCAGATGTCTACATGTCATATAATAGCTAGAAAAATTATGAAACTTGTATGGAATATTTGATTCATTTAAAAAAATTTTTTTTTTAGGTTAGTCTTTATAGAATTATTGGGTATTAACCGTCAGATTTAAGGTAATTTTTTGCAAATCAAGCTTTTACTTAGCTCTAAACTGAGTATTCTTGGGTGTATTATTTAGTAACTTTAAACTAAGCTGTTTGTTCTGTTTAGTGTTAGTAAGCAACTTTTTATTTGGAAAATTTTCTGGTTTGAGGTTTTTTTTGCAGGGCCATCTTAATGAATGGAGTAAATGCCTTCTAAAGTATTACATTTTATTCTTTCAACAATTTTAATATGCACAGGACAGGCGTATCTTGTTTGTTTGGCATAGTTGATTATTATTTTTGTTATAACACATAAAAAATGACTAATTTATTGGTCAACATATGGAATCTTATAAATGTCTTGTTTTAATTCGCTAGTAAACAGACAACAAATGGAATCTTTTATATGACTTGTTTTATTGGCTAGTCAACTTTTGACCAATGGAATATTTTATAAGACTTGCTTAAGAATCTGTTATGACTTGTTTTTATTTGCTAGTCTACAGTCAACAACTGGAATCTTTCATATGTCTTGTATTTTTATTACTTGTCAGTGATAGGTGAAGTATGAAAGTTTGTAAAAAAAATAAAAGAAATAATTCCATTTTGTGATTTATTTGATCATACTTAAATTTAAGTCGTGTAAAAGACCAAACAAAGAAATAAAGTTATTTCTACAGCAAAAACTCTTGCCAGTGTTATAGTCTAACAAAATGCTTTAGTTTCATTTTGTTGTTAATACTTTTTAAGAATGTAATTAAATTTAATTAAAGTCTATCCAAACTGAATAGGTGATTTCCTTCTTATGAAATTTTGGTGTGCGAGATTTGCTCTAGAACCTACTATATGTTGCTTTTTTTAAAATTATTTTATCAAACCTTTTGCTGTTAAATTATTATTTAAAAAAAACCCTTTAAACACTGTATTTTTTCAAATACATGTAGATCTAATTAAAAAAAGTATTAAACAACTAAAACAAAACTGCAGGTAACTTTGACACATTCTTTTTTTTAAATAATGTTTTAACAATGTCAGTTTTGTTTTAAGGAAATACAACTGCTTATCATCGAATGAACTAGGATATTTATTGTTCATGAGGAAAGATTTAACCTTTCTCTGAAGGGCATTATCTTAAGAAAGATATTTCCAAATTTATGCATATACAATAACCTGTTTTTTTTATTGAAAGGTGCAATATTGTTCTGATTTGTATATATATTATTATTTACAAAACTTTGGTTTGTAATTTATAAAATGTTGTTGTACATATTTACTTTAAAAACTATGTATTTGAAAAACTATTTTGATCTGCAACATTGTAGACATACATTAATTCTTTTTGTGTATAAGAATTTTGGCGCATGTCTGCGGTACAAAATTTGCATCCTGGTATCTATGATGAGTTTATTTTATAGCAGTATGTTGATTACATTTCTGCCATTTTAGGTTAAGGAGTCTAAAAAGGTTATAATTGATAATTTTGTAATTATTTAAGACTAACAGGTCTTATTATTTTCAGGACTCTTTGAGCCTCTAATTATGAATAAATAACTACCATCTATATAATATTTGGCAATAATGTAGTTTTATTCATAGATATGTTAACATGGTCTATTATGTAACTTCCCTTTTTTTCATTCTGTTGCTTTGTAAACATTTTGCATTTGTATCTTCTTCCTTCCTTTCATTCATTTCTATTCTATGATTTCTATCACTATGTTATGTATGTACCATTAAGAATGGTTCAAATAATGTTTGTTAACGATAAAGAAATACATTTGATTTTTCTGCATGTCATATTATTTTGTCCATAGTAATAAAAATTAAACACAGAAATGCTTGCAGTCTATTCACCAGAAATCATATTTAGATATTTATAATGATATAAATAGAAAAAGATCAAATGCTGTTTGTTCAAAGTCCAGTGGCAATTTTATTTTATTTTCAAGCCGTTAACAAATCAATATTTAATGCAATCTAGGTTTTGCAAAATGGGCAGATTTAGATGAAGGGAACATATCGACAGCGGCATGAAAAAAGTTGCACTCTCCCTGCAGGATGCATCCGATATTATATTCCTAATCTGGAAGTGGTTGCATATATTTATACATCTCACAAATCCATAGGGACACTCATTTTTAGCTTGAAGCTTCCTGCCAGTATGGAGAAGTCCTTGAGACCACATTTCTGCAGCCCATTTAACCTTTGGAAAAAGAATGCATATTTAGTTATGTCAGAAGTAAATATGATATGATTCTTTCATTAATGAAATTACAAAATAATTTTATCAACATCTTGATTATTAACAGGTTGGGACTACTAGCATCCTGACGTCATAATACTTCTGCATAGTTATTTCCCAAATACAAAATGTAAACATTGTCTGTGAGAAATTGACTAATAGACACAATGAACCACACTGCATTGTGGACTACTACGAGTGAACTATCACACATGAAAACGTGGAATTTGGTTGAAAGGTGTCTTTTTGTATTGTATCTCGGAATCTCTTGTTTATTGTTTTTTATTCATCTAAAGTTATAAATATAATGTTTATATCATAATCGTCAATTTGCATGCTCAGATTTAAAAACATTCATGTTTATTTTCGTCTTGTCAAAGTAGTAAAGAACAGGTTTTCTATATTGTTATGCACTGTAGCTGTGCATTCATTTCACGTGAAATTAATAAGTAACTGTCCATTGTCCAGTAAAACTCCAAGCTCTTTAAAACTAGTTAACATAATTTAAAGGAATGGGTTACATGATACTGATTGCTCTTGGAATTTTCGTATCAAATATTCTTAATTTTTCCCATTAAAAATGAATGCTATTTCATGAAGGACAGAGAATACGACACAGAAGTCCTACTTGGTATCGAGCATTACAGGCTGCAAAACACCATGGCTTTAACATGTTTAAAGACATGCGCATAATTCATGTGCACAGACTATATATGTATGTTATATCGACTGGGAAACCTGTCTATTGTTGAAGACTTTATGATTACCCTTAGTTGTTTTTTGGTTTATTTTTATGGTTTCGTTGCTGTCTCCTTGGCATAAAACCACACCTCATTTGATTCCTATTCCGTAGTTTTAAAAATGTCAAATGACCTCATATACTTGTACACGTGTATTTGGCACAAGTAAGGGATATTAAATGGGATGGTTTATTATTTAAAGACACAAAACGTGCAAAAGTTAATAAAATAAAATACTTGTTATTAATCTCAAGTCTGAAAACTATAAACTCATAAACTTATTACACAGTTACAAAGACAATTAGTATTTACAGTAAGACAATGGTAGTGCAATTTTCAGTGCATGTGGTAACACTAGAACACACTTTCTCATGAAAACACTTCCGGATCATCTCTAGCTTGCAGCACTCGTTTTTTGGACAATGGCCCTTGTGTTGACCTTTGCAATGATGTAGGTTATATATCATTAAATCTATTTGAATTTTGTTCAAAAAAGAAAAAAAATTGTGAGTGCGTCACACGGATACTTGACACTCGCTTTCCAAATTTTATGAGATCTGAAAAGTTAGGAGCCTCCCGTTTTCGAAATATGAATGCAAATACAACTGTTTCTAAATACTAGATATTTCAAATGTATTAAATTGTGAAAATTTATCTAAAAAAAAACATTGTTTAAACGAGGTACAACTTATCATCTTTTAAAGTTTGGTGTCGTTTGGTTGCTATAGTCCCATGAATGAATGTCTGAAATCTCAAATGTATAAATATATAGATAGATGATAATTATATAGATAGATGTTGATTATTTATAGTGGGAGTTTTTTTTCCGCATTTGCATTTCCCCGACAAATGAGACTTTAAAAATGTCTGAAACCTTTGTTTATCGATTCGAAATATAAATTGCTAATGTTCGAATATTTCAAACACTATTTTCTTAGGACTGAAACACTTATTCAATAATCTTAGCACAGCATTTATACTTTATATCATGGTCTGTAAATGCAATCACATAAGAAGAAAATATAACTTTTCCGGCATTCTGTGAAAAAAATCGTTGCATATTAGCAAGACACATGTAATCTCAACAAGTTGTAAGCACGTAGTAGTCCATCATGCATTGCAACTCATTACTTGGATTGGTCGTTGACCCAGCTAAAACAAGTTGAGTATTATGTAAACAAACAATTATATATTGGCGGAACATTAGTATTCTAAATTATGCATACCCGTATAAGGTAGTGTACACGACCTGATTAAGCATTGTTAAATTTTCCAGTTGCACTGACCCTTGAGTGCTAAAATATTTTTCTAAGAGCATTTATTAGATGAGGACACACAGAAGATGCAAAAAGATAATAATTATTTGCATTAGTTTATGTTTATTTCTGGCAATTAAGAATATCACAAGTAATATTATGCAATGGTAACAAACTGCATATAAGGCTTGAAAATATACACCAGATTACAATTGTCTTGTTTTGTTACCTTCCTTAGTCTAATGGTTACAAAGGGTCAAAGGAAAACAGATATGCATATTCTTGTGTTATTAAATGTTTTGTTATGCAATCTTTATTTTTACCATGGGAGCAGAAGAAAGAAGTACGCAGTTACAATGTATTTATAAATGTTGCTCTTGAACACGTGTATTTGTTTACTTGAAGCAAATGTGCTTAGTTCAAAGCTTGTTTATGTTTAATTTAATTGTATACACAGTTAGGTATTACCGGTTCAGGTAATACGTTTACTTGTCATGACAATTTCATGCTAGAATTTGTAAGTGCTAAATTATTGTATTGGAAGTATAGATTGTCATTCGAGGTTCGCCTTTACGATAATACAGTATCGTTTTTTGAACTAGTCGTAATTTGTCTGAATCGTCTTAAATGCTTAGAACTGAACAAAGAGCTTCTCCTTGCAGGAAATATATATCCCAACAAAAGGATTCTGCAGCAGCTAAAACTTATTTTATTTTCGTTGATACCTCATACCACTTCAAGACAATTTTATAGATCCGGACAGTCTCAAACGAAAGATTAAGGAAGACATCTCAAAAAAAAAATCAAGACACTCATAAACCTAAAACGAGGATGTATAAGAAACCTATTATAAGCAATGCAAAGTCATTCTATCTTCAAATACGCACGCCTTTAGAAATGTTCTTGAGCTTATAGACAAGTTAAAGGAGACATGACACGATTTTTTTTCTGAAAATAAATCAATACACATTTGTCTTAAAACACGTTTCATGTAATTTGGGTATGTCAAAACCTGACGAATCGGCATTTTGTAGGTTATAGAATCCAACGCGTGTCATAATCAATGATTTTTAATTACATAGCGATCACGTGGCCGTGATAAAGGCATTGGTACCGAAAAAATGTTTCAAACATGACAATGTCGATAAATTATCTGCACAATTACATGCTACACGGTGTTGACAGCAAAATTTCCGATTACTCCCAAACTTCAGACACTTGACATCATCAATTCAGCCATGTGTGTGAAAAAAAAAAACCCAAGAAAAAGACATTAATTTTTCATCCGACCTGTCCAACATCGACGATTTTTCAGCCAATACCGATTGGCTTGTGACCACACAGATTGGTTCGTATGATGATACATTTTATAAAGCTCATTATTGTTATAAAAAACTACCATAAGAATAGAAAGTATAAAAAAGAGGTGAATAAATTTCGAATTATTGATGATATCATATAATCCACAGAAAATAGGGTTACAGCAACGTTATACACCAGTAGCAGAAAAAACCCCAGATTTAAACTCATACAAGACGCGTGTTTTGTCTACAAAATATTAATCAAATGCCGCTCGAAAAAAAAAAAAGTTAAAAAGGTCAAATAAAGTAGGAAGTTGTAGAGCAATGAGGACCCAAAATTCCGAAAGGTTTTGCCAAATACAGCTTAGGTAATCTATTCCTGGTAGAAAATCCTTAGTATTTCAATCTGTGAACACTCGACAAGTGCAACTACTGCACACAACTTTAGATTCAATAGTTTATTAAAGTCTCACACAGCAAGATCATTGGTTTACCAACCTAATGAAATCCATAGCAGCTCCCTAACCTTTCAGAAGTCATCGTAATGCAGGTCTTGCACTTACTCTTCAACCGTTGTCATTGATAAGTTTTTGATTAACTACTACTACAATGTAGTAACTTTCAGTCTGTTATTATGATAATGATTTTATAGAAAATTTCTGATACAAGTTTCTTTTTAGACAATTGTCAGTCATAGGACTAATTTAAAACAGAAAATGTAGATTAGTTGTGCTGTAAATTATATGGAGAACGTACAATGTAGATGAGAGTCCTTTTGTTCTTGGCGCTTTCAAGGACGGTTATGTTATCCCTGTTATAGAGACACCTTTTAATATGTAGCATAAAAATAATAAATCAGCACTGCAGAATTCTGCGTTTGTCACAACGGCAAGCACACCGCTACTCAAAAGTTAGAAACGACTTATTTTAAATATGAGTCAATTGAACAAACACATTAAGTACTACAAAATTTTTTTCAAGGACTGGAAGATCACTTTACCATATTTTGACAAAAAATGTGTTTGACCTGAAGTCTGGTTATTTTCACATGAATATCTGCCCACAGCAACATACATTCTTAGGGTTTCAGTGGGAAGGTAAATTTTACTGTTATATCGTATAAGCTTTTGTAATTACAACTGATTCGTAAATTTTCAGCCAATTGTTTAAGGCCACTAGTAAAATTTGGCGTAAAAATGAAAAAAAAAGTTGTTTCGAATTTAGATGATGGATTCGGCATGGGTCTCT